CTTTGTATTGAAATTTTAGCTCGTTCAATATATAAAGACCCTGAAATTCAAGGATTTACTTTTAATAACGTACATGTAAAACAAGTTCTTTATGCAGATGATATGACTCTCTTTATTCGGGACTCAAACTCATTTAAAAAGGTGGGGAAACTGTTTGAAAATTTTGCTAGAAATTCTGGATTAAAAATTAATAAAGAAAAAACTTTTATATTATTGTTAAGCCCTTCTCAAAATGAAAATATTGCTCTTCCATTTGGTAAAGTAGTACAAATGGTCAAGATTTTGGGTATATATTTTTCTTTAGATGTTGAAGTTCAGGAAAGGACAAATTATAAGGAAATTTTGAGTAAAATAAAAAAAGTTGTTGTCTTGGTGGAAACAAAGAGATTTAACTTTAATGGGGAAAATTCAATTGATAAAAACGTTTATTTTGTCAAAATTGATTTATGTATCGGCGCTGACACCAGTACCAAATTGGGTATTTAAAGATTTGGATAAACTGGTTTTTGAATTTTTGTGGAAAGGAAAAGATAAGATAAAGCGAAATGTAATGTACTTGGATTATTGTAGAGGTGGACTAAGATTAACGGACTTTCATTTATTTATTTTAGTGCAGAGGATTATGTGGGTAAAAAGACTTTTAACGGGGGATGCAAACATGGGATGGAAACAATATTTTAATTATTTAACTAAAGATGCTGGAGGAATTTTGATATTTTATAATAATGCAACCGTAGGTATATATCTGAATTAGTATTACCAGCATTTTATAGAGACATGCTGGATGTTTGGATGGCTGCGAGAATATTTTTGTTAAAGGAAAGTGTTTCTAGGAGGAATGAGATTATCTATAATAATAGATTTGTTTTTATCGATGGTCATGTTCCTTTCGATGAGGGATTATTTAACAAAAATGTTTATAAGTTGCATCATTATTGTTGATAAGGAAGGTAATATAAAATCTAATGAGGAATTTCAAAGAAAAGGTTTAAATAGTTTAGAAATTAGTAAAATACAACGTATTTTTCTTGGCATCCCGTCTTCATGGAAACAATTTTTAAATAAAAATACTCACTCAAATATAGACAGGGAATTAGATATGGATATTATTATGTTTGAAAAGGTATATAATATGTTAGATCAAATAACCTCAAAAATTATATACGCTTTTTTATTAAATAAGGGAGTAGAAAAATCATATGCAGAACGACGTTTAGAACAGACTTATAATATTCATGGAAAAGATATACAATTAATATTTTTAAGACTTAGAAAGTGCACATTGAATAGTAAGCTTAGAGAATTTCAATTTAAAATGCTTTATAATATTATATATACTAAATTACATTTATATAAATTTAAAATGGTTAATAGTAATTTATGTTATTTTTGTGGTAAATATGAGGAAACTTACGAGCATTTATTTTGTCTTTGTGAGAAAGTAAAACCAATTTGGGAAGAGTGTGGGAATTTATTTAATTTAGTAGAAATTACAAATATAAATTGGAAAGGTATCCATGTAGGGATAGTTGAGTTTAACATAGGGAAGGAACAGTTATTAAATCATATCATAATTTTGATAAAATATATGATATTTATAGATAGTAAAAATAGACAAAAAACTTATTTGGAGATTAAGAAAAGATTATTGGAAAATGGAAAGGAGAAGAAATTAGCTGGGGACCGAGGTACACTCACATATCATTTTAGAAAGTGGGACAATTTAGAATAACTTCGCGCAGAATAAATAAAATAAGGAAGGCGAATAGAAGCAATGAAATGGACATGGCTGATATAATGGTCGAGATTCCCACAAAATGTAGGCATGTTTTAAGTGGGTGTTTGTGTGGGTGTCTGCACGTGTGTGTATGTGTGTATGTAAGTATTTTTTTATTTTATTTTTTCTTCTTCCCTTAATGTCTTTTTATGTTCATGCCTTCTTCATGCATGCATGTTTCATGCTTTATTTGATGTAAATAGTAAAAGTTCATTTGTATTATTTAGATGTGAATGTGAAATCATATTCTATATAATAATATTAACATGCAGATTATTTTATGTATTGATTTTGTTATTGTTTGTGAAAAGCAATGGAGAAAATAAAATATCATTGAAAAAAAAAAATGTTTCTTGACTAAAATCGACCGATTAGCTATTCCCGTTTGGAAATTATATATCACAACTACATATTCTGAGATTTTCATGGTCGCAGCTACCATTATACGGCCGTATAGGCGCTATTTGAAATTTATCAAAATTTACCGGGAGCACCGGTAAATTTTTATATTCAATTTTTCTCGAAAAGAGAAGTGTTTTAGGGGTTAATTTTTTTAGTGCTTATAATATATCCACAGGGGCATCCAAATATATCATAATTGTAAAGATTCACTATCCACTCAATTTTCAAAATTTCCCAAAACTTTGTATTACCTTTCGAAGCGTATTACACAATGAAATAAGTTGCAATCAACAATAATATACAAAGAACAATTCAAAACCCTAATTAAATCATAACATCTAGTCTGAATGAAGAAAACAAAAAATGATAATGGAAGCCTTTCCCACCATAGGCAATAGAGGGTTCATGCACGGAAGAGACTCGTGAAAATAGAAAACGTATGGCTGCATGGGCTGGCTACCGGACAAAATAATTTCCATTATTAAAATTGGTGTATCTAATGATTATTTTGGTGCAAAGGGCAAACAAAAAATTGCCCCCCCCCCACCGCCTTTAAATTTCAGCGCAAAAAATTAACACTATAAAATATGCAACTAGATTTCCTCGCCTTTTCACAACGTGATACTAGCAGGCGCGGATCCACGGGGGTGCCGGGGCGGCGGGCCTGCCAAATAAATAAATAAATTAAACAAATTATTTTAATAAAAAATATATTTTAAAAATTCACTCTGAAAACAAACAAAAATTGTATTCCTTCTCCCCCCCCCCCCCCCCACCCCGCTTTTTTTGAACGGCTGTATGATTCGCGGCTAACAAAAAATTCTCATGAATTGGAGAAGGAAAAAAAGTGCACTTACTTCAAATTTCAAACGTATATTTTTACAGTTTAGTTTAAAATTTTAGCAAATGCGTGAGGCAAGAGAGCAAAGTATTTTTGCTGTTATCAGTGTTCATTATTTTGTGAGACCGTTTGGGGAAGGAAAAAAGGTGTTCTTTCTTTTACCTGTTTCTGTGCTTATTTTCATGATTATCATCACGATCATTTTTTTTTTAGAGCAAAACATATATCCATAATAGCTTTGAGACATGTCTCTTTTATAAGTTTGTTTGGCAATCGCATTACGAAAAATAAAATTTTAAAAAATCTAAAATGAAAACCAATTATGCCTATATTTTCACAATATTGTTAAAAACTATCATAATCTGTTTATAATCAAGCAGACGTACTGTTTAGACGTTTTACCAAACAACCAGTTTTAGCAAATGCGTGTGGCAAGAGAGCAAATTTTGTTTGCTGTTATAAGTGTTCATTATTTTGTGAAACCGTTTCTGTGCTTATTTTCATGATTATCATCACGATCATTTTTTTTTATTTGTTAAGAGCAAAACATATATCTATAATTGCTTTGAGACATGGCTCTTTTATAAGTCATGAGTTGTTTGGCAATTGCATTACGAAAAAGAAAATGTAAACATTACACAAAATTTTTAAAAATCTAAAACGAAAACCTATTTATGCCTATTTTTTAAAAATTAGTTAAAAATCGACACAACCTTTTTATAATCAGACATAACGTTTATACGTTTTACCAAACAACCCGAAAAAGGAATTCAAGATAAACTAACAAAAGCTAAAATGCAAAATCGCTATCATAAAATGAAACCTCGTATAAGAATATGGCAACACCTGAGGGCGTTTTGAACTATCTGAAAGAGTTGAGATCAAGTTGTACTTGGAAAGCACACCCGGTATGCACTATAGTGTGGATATGGGGTGAGATAAGCTGTGTCTTGGATGACTATATAATTGAGATTTTAGACGTTTTTTGTCATCATTATCAAATTCATGAGCTGAAGAGCAACTGCTTTATTAATATTAGAGGGTGAAGTGCCCCCATGTTCCACCCGGCCCCCACCCCCAATCAGCAATTAATCTACCTCTATTCGCATTTCATCCACCCTGGGTGAGATCCGTCATCAGTTTTAGCAAAATATGCGTGAGGCAATAGAGCAAAGTATTTTTGCTATTATCAGTGTTCATTATTTTGTGAGACCGTTTCTGTTAGAGGAAAACATATATTTCTCTTTTATAAGTTTCGCAGTTTGGCAATCGCAAATAAAATGTAAACATTATACAAAATTTAAAAAAATCTAAAATGAAAACCAATTATGCCTATATTTTTACAATATTGTTAAAAACTATCATAACCTATTTATAATCAAGCAGGCGTACTGTTTAGACGTTTTACCAAACAACCCGAAAAATGAAATCAAGATAAACTAACAAAAGCTAAAATGCAAAATCGCTATCATAAAATGAAACCTCGTATAGGAATATGGCAACACCTGAGGGCGTTTTGAACTATCTGAAAGAGTCGAGATCAAGTAACAATGTACTAAGCAGTATTATAGTGTGGATATAGGGTGAGATAAGTTGTGTTTTAGAAGACTCTATAATTGAGATTTTAGACGTTTTTTGTCATCAAGGGTAACTGTTTTATTATGGTGGAGGGTGCAGTCACCGCAGTGCCCCGTGTTCGCCCCCCCCCCCCTCCATCAGCAATTAATTAATCTACCTAGCTCTATTCGCATTTTATCCACTCTATGGGTGAGGGTGAGGCCCGTCACCAGTGTTCCCTCGATGACTGTACCCTCGCTACGCCACAGAAGACAATTTTAGTCTTAGCTTTTAGAGTTTTATTAAAATTATTAAAGAAAGAGAGATCATAGATAAAAGAATTTTAAAAATCTGTGTTAGTTTTTATGCCTAGATCGCTCTGCTAATGCTCGCTCTCGCGCGTGCGCTTAATTCCGCGTGTGACATGCGCGTGCGTCAACAGCTGATATCTGCAAAGCGCGACCGGCGCGGCTGACCAACGAAATTAAGTGACTAAATTGACAGATTTGTTGAGCGGACAATGTCCAGACTTAATGGATATTCATACTGAAGTACTTTTGAATTTACCTCGGTGATATTGATTTCAGCAATCACTTCATTACTGTTTCATCTAGCCACGAGCTCTACCTCAGCTCCGCCACATTGAACAGACGTACAGCCGACAGGAAAGCGTTTATACGTGTGGCCATTAATAACGGTAAATGGCGTGTGCTCATGGGGGAATCTCCCGCACCAGCATCCTGACCATTGGCCCCTGCTGCTAGATACAGTGCTAGCTTAGTCGAAAAGACTGAAGATGCCATTATGCATTACGCCAAAGCAATGGCATAGGATAGACATTTACACATTTATGGAACGAATTGATCATTGGTAATATAAGCAGCGTCAGTTACTTGTTAGGTAAGTAAAGTTTAAGCTTCAGTTATGTTAACGATGTAAGTGTGTACAGTGTAGTAGACCGAAAGCTTCAGTCTCTATACCGTCGGTTGTTACACTGAGACTACGTCAGGCTCCACTAGACCTCCGGTTATAGAGACAGAACGACTGCCTATGCCAGCCTGTGTTGAACTTATTCCGCTAGATTTTAGCCGCTAGGCCCCTCCCACAAACTTGCCACGGCCGTATTGTTATGCCCCCAAAATCCCCCAAAATGTCATTTTACCTCGTCCATATCCAATTTTAAATTAGGCCTAGGCTATAATACATCGGTTCCACTTACTAATTTGATGTAAATAATCCGTTTAATGGTCCCTTTTAAGGAAATTATGGGTCAAAATCGACATCCATGTTGAAAATCTTGCAAGCCGTGTTAAACTCTCGTTGCCGTCAATCTCATCCCTTCTAGTCTACGCCGAAGGCAAAATGATTATGAAGGAAAAAACTGTGATAACGCCATTACGAACGTGTAGATGGCGCACAGTTTTTCCTTCATTATCATTTTGCCTTCGGCGTAGACTAGAAGGGATGAGATTGACGGCAGCGAGAGTTTAACGGACGGCTTGCAAGATTTTCAACATGGATGTCGATTTTGACCCATAATTTCCTTAAAAGGGACCATTAAACGGATTATTTACATCAAATTAGTAAGTGGAACCGATGTATTATAGCCTAGGCCTAATTTAAAATTGGATATGGACGAGGTAAAATGACATTTTGGGGGATTTTGGGGGCATAACAATACGGCCGTGGCAAGTTTGTGGGAGGGGCCTAGCGGCTAAAATCTAGCGGAATAAGTTCAACACAGGCTGGCATAGGCAGTCGTTCAGTCTCTATAACCGGAGGTCTAGTGGAGCCAGACGTAGTCTCAGTGGAACAACCGACGATTATAGAGACTGAAGCTTTCGGTCTAACAGTGTAGATGATAGATCTAGCCTAGACCTATGTGTAAAGTTAGAGGTCTAGACCTTCTTCTTAAAAAGGTGAAATTCAAAGAAAATCACAAATACTAATAGGGTCTAGATCTATGTCAACTAATGTATCACTAGAATCTGGTAAGCTAACAGATGGCCATCATACAAGTTTTAGGTCAACTACATATCGGGTGATTTATAAAAATACAAATAGGTCTAGATCTAGACTACAACCACCTCCATAACAGCTGGGATATACATGAAGAGATTCGCCGGAAAAATAACAATGTTTTAATGACGTCGCTATATCTATGGACCAATACTGCCCAAGCAGACGACATCCAATAAAGAATGAACATAATTGCAAAGCTAAAATTTGTCAAATAATAATGAGTTTAGTGTATATAAATGTATTAAATGACATGTCAAACCATTCAAAAGGGGATATGACCTGATTCTGATAACTAAAATCTTTTGCTTGTAAATATACAGGATAGGGATTAGGGGTTAATCAACAATCAAAGAAACCAGACTTTCAAATTGCTAACCCCCCGGAATGATATTAAGGACGGCATTTGTTCCCTCTTAAAACGCCGAACATACCGCGACAGATTCCTTTATTTTTGTATCGCTGCATTTGTCATCAAAATAAAACCATGCGCGGGGTTTAGAGTGAGGCAATAGATTATACATTTAGCCTGACGGTAGTGAAGTAAGAGAAAGAACTCAAGAGAAGATGAAAACACAGGCACGGGACATCGTCATAGGACATCGTCTGCTTGTGCAAATCATGTCCATACTGTGATCTCACACATCTCAGCAGCGTTTGGAGAGCTCTTCAGGTGTTATGCCGGGGCTGTATTTAAGTGTTTTGTAATTTATAATAATTCAAATGTTTCCAAGCATTGAATTTTGATAACCTTGTCGAATCAAAGTTTCAGCTTTGCAATAATGAAAATAAAGTTAGTTTTTAATATCAATGAATATCTACTTTAAATTAAAAAAAAAAAACTTGTACTCAGTGTCTCAGTCTACCAACCTCCGGTTGGAATTGGAAGTTACCCCAACAATATACAACACAGTGACTGTAAAGTAGGATATTCTTGGTTACTTTTGTGTGGAATTACATACATCATGTACATGTACAGTGTACCAACAAGATTAAAGATACTGTATCAATCAATATACATGTACAGTACATTAAAAGCACAGGACGAGTCCCAAACATTGGTATTACTATTATCTTCACCTGAATTTATCTTTATAATCCATCCAATTTTGTGTTGTTGTTGCTTACCCTGAGAACTACTGTACATGTACTTAGTTCTTAGACTCAGACTCAGACTTATACTGCAAATAAAGTACATTAAAAGCACAGGACGAGTCCCAAACATTGGTATTACTATTATCTTCACCTGAATTTATCTTTATAATCCATCCAATTTTGTGTTGTTGTTGCTTACCCTGAGAACTACTATACATGTACTTAGTTCTTAGACTTAGACTCAGACTTAGACTGCAAATAATGTAAGCACTTAAGTCAGTTTCTTACAGCATGTTTAACTGGTAAGGTTAAAGGTGCTACAATGTATGTGGAGAGAGTTATTGCTGCTCCTGCTGTTGTGCTGGTTGTTCTTGTTACTATTACTAATGCTGTACCATTACCACTACCATTACCACTACCACTACAGCTACCATTACCACTACCACTACTATTACCACTACCACTACTATTACCACTACCACTACTATTACTACTACCACTACCATTACCACTACTACTAGTACTACTATTACCAAGTAACATTACCACTACCTTTACCATTACCACTACCAGTACCTACATACCTACATGTATTGCATACCTAATTTACCATCATCATAATCATAATCATTTTCTGTATTCACTTGGAAAAAATCTTTTTTTCATTCAGAATGCAGGGCATGGTAATAAGGCTTATACATGTAGTGAAGATTTATTAAGCATCTCAGTCACGTGTGCCGAACTGACAGTGATTTTTTAAGCATCTTGTATTTGAGACAATAGAGTGCGTTATCTTTAGTTGTCATGGCAGAATACGATAGTTCCCAATTCTTCAATTGACTTTCCCAATTGACTTTAATGTTACAACCTTTTAATGTGATTTGTGTTTGTGGTTCGTGAACCAGCTACAGGGGTACAACAGCAAATCGTATAATATTTTTTTCCAGAGAAATCATTCCAATGAACAAAATATGTCAAATTTAAGTTCATGCAAACTTTTTGCAAGTCGCATTTTTGGAATTTTCTTAATACAAATTTAGCCTATAAATACAAAATATTTAGATTTAAACCCGAATTAAACACTTAAATATTTTAAGCTGACGCGAAGAATTATGCCTATGGCACAAAGTTTTGTTTACGTCAGGGCCTGGCTGGCTCTCCCAAGAGGCCAGGGGTGGTATTTCGAAAACTGTAATATTGTTCTATCCTCACCTGATCCTAACCATTACAAAAGTATTGATATTTTGTACAACTTTTTTGTCACTAGTACTTTCCTCTCATGGTCCTTACCCTACACATGGTTAAAATTAGTACCATGCACTGCATACTGATTTTCGAATTAGCAGCTGCTAAGGATTGACTGTTTTGGATATTTAAAAAGAATGATATTTAGGAACATTACCAACCTAACTCCTGAAAGATTTCATTTAAGTGAGTTAAATTTGGAAGTTAAACATGTAACTGTAGTTAAAAATTATATGCAGATTAGCCTCCTTATAAGATTCATAAATCACACATTTGTATTTACTATTTTTTTGTCATTCATTACATTTGTGAATATATTTTGCAAGGACCAGAAAGCAAACCTGTGCTTGTAGCCTTGAACTACATTTTACAATTCAAGAAAAACCTGGAAAATGTTAAACTATAGTACAGTCTATATAGCATGTAGAGTGTGATCCCAAATGCAAACACGTTTGAATTGCTGCTGCTGATCGGTTGGCAAACCTCTAGGCTATTTCATTGTGTTTCATTCATTCCTATTCTTTATGCTTTTGCAGGTCCTTCTACTAAAGTTTCTTTGAGTTGAGTTGAGTTTGGGACAACCTTCTACCCTGGCTTCTGTGTGACTCATGGATCATAATGGACCGTGCCAGAGTGCGAACCAGTCATTTTGTCATGGGACACGCCTCAAAGTAAAGTAAGTTCTTTCCATATCATTCGGGCTTGTCAACAGTCAGGAGGATCATTCGACCGAAAATATTCTCAACTTTTTTTCTGCAAATACAGTATTAAGTATTTATGAATGATGAAGAGTATTGATCAATGTGACTATCGGATCAATCTTCAAGCGATATCAAGGAGAGAAACTTTAATTCAGACGAGAAATGGCTCACACTTGTCGAAATGCAGTGAATGTGTGAATGTTGGTGCCTCCAAAATTGTGAAGTTTGTATTATGGCAGTATCCTCAAATGATTTATTTGGACCGTCATCTGTAGGTGTTGTGTGTGACCTGTGTACTTTCAGGATGCAGTCGTATGCCGACTTATTTCTTTTAACGAGAGACATTCGGCCTGTCAATACGGAAGGTGTCTCATTGATTGGAGAGTCCTATTCGAAGTGCAGAGATACTTTGATAGCCAGGACGAAGGGCCTGGCTATAGCAGCAAGGGAAGTGAGGGCACAGCTTGTGATGGGACGCCTCAAGGAAGCTGCCAATGCAATGAAGCAGCTGACGGATCTTGTTGTTCACATCACCGAATGTTCCAGTCATGCTGCGTACCTTGCTGCAATCAACGATCCAGGATCAAGACAGGCAGTCCCGGGAATCATTGATCGCTACAAGATCTCCTTCGCAAAGCTCAATATAGAACATTCTTGCATGACTCTTCAACACACACCGCTTGTTGAACTCTCCCCCTCTGATATCGTGGACCTCTCAGCTAACATTGTCAGGGACCTTGGGGTGTTGACCAGTGCTAGCTTACTTGCCAGTGAAGCCAGTGATGAAGTCTTTCACAAAGAGCAGTTTAAGCTGTCCATGAAGAGTGTGACGGCATGTACGAGCTCACTGCTGGCAAGCATCAAGCGCTACAAAGTGACTCTCGATGAGCGAAGCCGAACACGCTGCATCACCTTCTGCAAACCTCTTGTGCAATCTTGTCAGGCATTTGTTGATTATGCCAGTGAACCCGAACACTTAGGAAACCAAGCAGACATCTCAGAGAATGGAAAGCAGGTACAGACGGCAATATTAGGTGGAGGTATGAGTGTTGCCAGTTCATGCATACAGTTGTGTCACTTTACACGAGCTGCAGCCTTTGATTATAATAATCCAGATTTGATTCAGAGACTGACTGTCTGTTGTACTGCAGTTATGGATGGTGCCACCCTACTTGCTCAAGCCCTCCGAGACAGGTCATCCCCACGAACAATACCCCCATCCGCTTCTTGCCCTCATTTGAATCATGCCGAGTAGGCTTAAATGTTTCATCATGGGTGATAGATAATGCCATCCAAGACATTGAAATTATAAATTAGCTTAATGACTTGCCATGAATGTGCTAATCTGTAGAAACAAAAAGAGCTTAACTTATTACTATGCAAAATCAAAAAGTTTGTGAAATCCACCATTGATCAAAATCTTTTTTTTTGTGCTTCTAAATGTACATTGAGTACACTTCCAATACTTCCAGTAGAAGGAGTGAATATGTCCTTTAAAGATATATTTATTTGTTCAGTAAATACACTTTTATTAGGAAAATCAATGGTGTTACTGAAGGAAATGTTAATCATTGCGTTAGGTGGAACAGTATTATTATAATGATTTTTATTCAAATTATACATGACACAAAGGCAATATTGTGTTTGCTTGTAAGACATTATTTACATAGTCCTCAATGTATTACTTGCAGACCTCAACAAAAGGAATTCTATTTTATGGATTGTCGTGAGTTATTTTGTTGATGGTAAATTCACTGATTTAAAAGTTGTGTACATGGAGCTTAAGAGGGCTTCTTCCATGATCAATGTGCTTTCCAGACATAGCAACACTGCCTAAACAAGTAAACATACAAATCTTTGTGTACAAGTAGACACATTCATGTACAAAATTGTTATACAGACTTTGAAATAGTCAATTAGATGGAAACTAAGTAAATGTACAGTGTAGATGTACTTTCTTACAGCCTACTTACTGTTACTGTTTGTTGGAGTAAATCCTAAGACTATATATAAATTTGAATGCATTAACTGCTGTTTGTGTTCGTGTGCATGTACCGGTATAGCCTTGTAATGAAGATTTGTTTTTAGAGATCTAATCACCTCAAAATTGTTTTGAATATCATTTAAAGAAATGAAAATCACCCCCTTATTACAAGATATTCAAATTGTATATGCCTGTACAGTATGTACATGTACAGGTACATCAGCAATTTATGAGTAATATAATTTCCTGCGCGTTAAAAGCTCAACCATTTTAAAGAATGTTACTAACCAAAGTGATCAGAGAATCAGGCATACATCAGTGTTCTCACTTGTACAATATGTGTGTAACTTTAAACAAAATTAGCTATCAAAGATCTTGAAAGACTGCTTTTCAGCCCCAGGAAGATACTATACTTGTCTTGATGAAAATTTACTTTCCATATATTTAAAATTTTTACAAAGAAAGAATGATGCCTATAAAATTATTTGTGCATATAAAATCCCACCAATCATACTTGATTTGATACAAAGTAAACGTTTCTAATGTTAAAATACTTGGACTTTTGCATGTTTGAAATGTTCATGATTTTTACAAGTGGTTCAGATTTGTGAAAGTTTAATGCTTTGAAATCACATTTGATACAGCACTCTAATTTTTTCAATCCACAACAGTTTCTTGCCAAGAAAATGGCCATCCTGAACATTTCATGTCGCAAAAATGTATGGTGTGACTGTGTACCGTATCACATTGGCATGTTCTGTAACATTTAATTTGCCTACATGTACATGTACGTGTACAATGTACATGTATGACAAGACGATAATATAGGCAAGATACAGTGTACACATGGACAGTACTTGCAATGTTTCTTCTCTCATGTGAAGCAGTAAACTTGTTTTTTTTTGTAATTAATGAATGAAACAATCTTACTTTTCCCTTAATTTTTGAGTGCAAGATACATTTGTACACAGTGTACCTGTTGGAATCAGTACTATATTCTTGCCCTCTTTGCCTTTCATGCTTTTACATGGCTTGACAGGCAGGATCATTCTAAGTTAGGCTCATCAACTTTACAACTCAGATTAGAGCTTTATTATGATCCCTTACTAGGAAATTGATCGAAAGCCGTACCTTCTCAAACCTATTTTCATTCGTGACATGAAAATGGGTTTTCTTTGCAAATTTTACAGCAACTTATCTGATACTTTTCAAACTCAGACTATTTGGTCCTAAAATATATAACGCTTATGAGGAAGAAAACTATATTCTGAATAGTATCCTGAAATGTGGGCAATGGATGTACAAATGTAAAAAATATTCAATTTTAAGTTTACATTTATTGTTTACTGGATAAACCATTTGCAGATTTTTCAATGTGTTATTATATTGATTATAAATTTAGGGATATCAATTTAGTTTCGAGCTACTGATCGAAATTATTGTGTGCTTTTATTGTGTGAACATAATAATTTTTGATATCTTATTTTTTTATGGTGGGTTATATTCTCCTTTCCATAACAGGTTACTTGTTCTAGAGAGACAAAACTGCATACTTACATGTATGTCTTTGATTAATTGTGGTGTGCCATACAACACGTTAACACAATTTCTATTTTCTTTAGAAACTAAGTATACATGCTAGTTGCATGCAACCAATGTAATTATAATCTAAATGTACAAATGGGCCTGATCTTCTCAAATACGGCATGAGGCAAAAATTTCTGATTTTCATCACATTTTTGTTTGAACTGTCTGTGATACTTTATGTCCATCAAAAATTATATCACAGTATGCAAAATTAATGTCATTATGCATTATTTATCCTGTTTCCATATTGGCTTGCATTAGATCTAGCCAAAATGTGTACAGGCCTACAGTATGTAGAATTAGAATCAATATTTTATCTCATAAATTATGATATACTGGTACATAAGGATTAAGTTTGTTTAATTTGTTGATTTGTAAGTTGACTCGGACAGTAATTTTGAAGAGCTTTCAGTGTAAACAAAGATGAGAAAAAATATACAATGTACAGTTGACTTGAAACTTGGAAGCTGCTTTTATTATACACAGGTGATTTAACTTAAAAGTGCTGTGCAATTCTTTTGTTTAAGTTTTACATTATTTGTGTACATGTGTATACTATGTGTAGATTGGACAATATATTTACCTTCAGGACTCATCGTCATAAAGCAATGATTGAGAATTCTAAGGAGCATATCAATCTTTCATGGATTTGTACACATTTTGCTTTCAGGAAAATCTTGAAGGTTAGATATGATTTTCATTTCCTGATGAACATTAATAATGATGTTGACCCGAGTTAAATATATGTACTGGGTATTCTGTACTCTTGTATGTATGGTGGCTACACTGTAAATGATATGTTTGAAATTGTAGAGGTGAAATTAAAGCCCATGCATATTTTACGTCAAGTTATTGGATGATTTCTTTGGATGTAAATTTATGAGGTTGCTTAGTTATTAAAAAAAAAAATGAAAGTTTTGAAGTGTATTTCTGACGGAGACATACTGTTGAGAAATGTGCATACTCTAAGCACATTCATATTATCAACAGTCAGTATTTTATTCAGAATATGGAAGAGTTATGAACTGAATGATTCCTTGGCTTGCACTGAATGTACAATATCAATACCCAGTACCATACATTATTTGACATTTCTACAGTGTACTCAATGTCCATAGTCCCAGATATTCATTTGTACAAATTTGTATCAGTGATATGTATAGATTTCTTAATAGTCCACTAGCCTCATACTATAATAATCATAATTTAACTGCCATATGATAATATTTATATATGAATGGTTAATGTATAACTGTATTATTATTGGCCAATGAGTTTACAGTGTAATTGCTGTTTCTGAATACATAACAAACTCTTTACCCCCTTAAGATTCAGAACCTGCCTGTTTTTACCAAATACCCCTTTCTTTTTTCTAGTACTGTACCTACAAAAGCATGATGATGTACAAGATTGATAGATTAAGAGTATGTTGCCTGAAATATTGTCATGCACAGTTCATTCCCAAGCTTACATACGCTTTTAATAGACAAATGTACAGAAGATTATTGATTATTTGTTGTTGCATTCAAGTTTCTTCTGATTATTTCATCGTTATTGAAATATTTAATGCTTCCGGTTCATTGATACACACAAAAAATGGGATTGCTTCCGGATACCATATCAGCATTGCATACTGTATAAAGAGAGATAAGTTATATGTTCTTAGATATTGATGACTTACTGTACTTGGTTTGATGATACAAGAGAGACAGCAATAAAGCTTTGTCTTGGTAAAATCACTCATGTGTCTTAATGGTTTTTGTTGTTTTAAGCAAAGTAAAATGTGTCTTAATAGTTCTTGTTAGCAGGTCAAGGGTCGTGGGTCAATGTTGGTGAAAATCACATTAAAACAAAAAAAAATCACAATATATCAAGGACCTCTGATGTACAGTATGAACCCTAGATTTTACCGGTATACAAGTATATACAGAGTTTCGCAAATTTTAAACATTACTGAAAATGTACGCAGGAAAACCCAATTATTCTTTATCAGTCGTAAAATAAAATTGAAGTTGGCAGAAAGCAAATACACCCTTTTTTTCAACATAAAAACAAAATTAGCCATGCATTTGCTTACTCCACCTTTTTTAACTTCAGAAAATTGTCAAAGGGGTTCCATTTTTACATGAGGCCCTGGATCTTACGAATGTCATTACTGTGTCCGTCAATGCAATTACCCCACTTCCAAATCTTGTCACTTGGTTCTTGTCAGTCGTAAGTCACGGCCAACCCTGTCATGGGCAGTCATTGGCAGTGAGATCTTTGGGGATCTAGGGGCGGAAGTTGGGATGTACCAATTGCTTCTGTTTGCAATTAACAAATTAGTCATGGTAGATTAGCGTGACACCTAGCATTAGGAGGTTGGCTGTTGACACTGTGGTTGATGGTTTGAAGGCCAGAAAAGATATGGGGAATGGAAAAATTCATACAAACAACATTAACATGTATACAAGTATTGTCTGTTCAAAGCCAGAAGGGCAATACTTCTTCAATACAGACTTAAGTGCCATGTAACTCCAAACAGATTATATTGATATCATAGTTTCTATTGAAGAGATTCACATGATGATAATGATATTGAGAATAATGATATTGAGATCTGTAAGGCGCTGAATCCACTTGAAATCAAATGATATACTGGTATCAGTGGTATCATAGTTTTTATTGAAGAGATTCACATGATAATGATATATGATATTTGTAAGGATGTAATGATACTAAAGTAACAGTCAAAGAATGACAAGAGAGAGAGAGAGAGAGAGAGAGAGAGAGAGAGAGAGAGAGAGAGACAGACACACAGACAGATAGAGAGAGTGTGAGAGAGTGAGAGAAATAGTGAGATTAGAGAGAAATGGAGAGAGAAAAGGAGGGAGAAAGGGAGGGAGAGAGAAGAGAAAAGGGTTTTGAACTATTCATTTCTTTTCCAATTATCTTGAAAGGTACACATGATGTTGAGTACAGGACACCAAAACAAGCTTAAAGGTAAAGACCAGTTATGGTCATGCGATTGCATTGTGAAAGAAACGTTGTGGAATCGATCAGAAAAGGTTGATCATCTAGCATCTAGCATCTGCAAGGTTCTGGAATCATCAAAATGATAAGAAATTTGGCCCATTCTTCGTAAAGTTACAAGCACTATACACAGAAAGATGTATATGGGACTACCCTATATCTCTCACAGACCATGAGAGAAACAAATTTACCAAATATATGAATTAGTAGGCGGTTTCCCGGCAAATTTTGTATCATCATGTATTAGTCAAAACATATTCTTTTACATGATTGGTAATGAGAGCTTCCATTTCATTTTTTGAAATTGGTGCGTTTCCAATACTGGTCTTTACCTTTAATTACAAAATGTATAAACTCTCTGCTATAACTGTACATGTGCATTCTAGGATGTCAAAGAAGAAAAAAAAGGAGAAATAAACTAAATGAGTAGATGACTGGCCTTGACTCGATCCTGTTTCCCAGGGAGTATTCTGTCATGCTTGTCTCACTGTGACAGTCTCGGGACACACCCATTTATCTGCTTAAGACAGTCCCTTCATAAACCCCAAGGAACTCATTTGTCAGGAAGGATTTATGATAGGGTGTTTGAAGCATTGTTGATGTATCATGGTGCTGAGCCAATCTGACAGGGCCTTCACACAGGAGGATATTGCTACAAAATTTAGAGAAAGAAACATTGAATTAAAATGGTGTAGCAAAAGAGGAATGCATATGGGATAAGAATATGTATTTATGAAGAAATTTGTGTAAAGGAACAAGTTTGGGGAGAGTCTACTTTACAATACATATATTTAGTGTTGGCTTACATGTATGTCATAGCCTTTATTGGCATTGCTCAAATATACGAAATGACAGCTTGATGGCGATATCAGTGTGTTCATGATAAGGCCTGCCTATTTGCGTACAGTTTTCATTTAAAAACCATGTAATGAATATTGAGGCATTGTTAAGAAAGTATATTTTTAAATTGATTTGCACACATTTTCATCTTGATCATCATATATGTCAAGTTCACAAGATCTATGACTTTTATCATCAATGTTGTGTTCTCCTGTACATCAATTTTCTTCTGGAACACAGTGTTTCCCTATCCCACAAACGATGGACACTAGGGTCATCTACATTCTATTGATGCAGCTATCCATCTTCCAGCACTTACTACTACCTGTACATGTAGCTAGCCTTGTTAATGCAAGCTCAGACTTTAAAAAGCATCTAACCAAGGCATACAGTGTATGTTGAAGAATCAAGAACTTACATTGAATTTGATATTGTTGAAGACTTGAAGGTTATTGTCATCCCACTTTCGGTATTGGTGAGCTCAATTACCATTACACAGTATGCTATTTATAAAAAAATATTTAAAAAACTATATGTGAGAACTAACTACCGTGATACATTTTGACTGCAAAGCTGGTTTCTTTTTATACATGAATTGTCTCTTCTAATTCTAATACAGAGTAATAACACAATTAACAGATTGAAGATGATTTTTTTTGTATTTCGCCAAGGTATGTTCTTCTTTGTAATTCAATCATATCAAAGTTGTAAGTCTTGTAAAACCTACTCACATTAGATTTCAAGTGAGTAGCATTGTAGAAGTTGTCTGCGGTTCGTTGAAATCTAATATAATCAGAGTAACCCAAAATATGTCCATTTCATCTTGGGTTATGACTCTTACTAAAATTGTGCATGCCATTAAGATGAATCTTCTCTCCCTGCCCCCAAGGAAATGAAAGAATAAACCTCCATGTACATGCAGTGAGTGGGATGTGACAATGTGGTCAATAGAGCAATTTTTGGTGTACCAAAAAGAAAGATGAAAAAAAAATATGTCAGAATTTTCTTGGTGTGTCCTAAGTGGGTGGAGGAGGATACTATTGATGAAAGACGTCACTTGAAATTGGGTAATCCTTGTGGTAAGATCCCTTGCCTGCTGTGATCGATACACAGAAGCAATCAAGCCACTCTCATTCTCAGTGGGCATCAAATTGTATTAGTGGCTTGCAGGATTAAGTGTGGCCCTGTCGAAGCCATTTTGTACAAAAATCAACTTTATTACTAAAAATATAGTGCATGAATTTGAATGAATCTGGAAAAGAAAAGAAATTTTATAAGTGGCTAAATTTAATAAGAATTAATTTACTACTAAAAATATATTGTATGGATTTGAATGAATCTGGAAAAGAAAAGAAATTTTATAAGTGGCTAAAGTTAATAACAATTAATTTACTACTTAAAATATAGTGTATGAATTTGAATGAATCCGGAAGAGAAAAGGCCATTTTAAAGTGTCAAAATGTAAGATCTTATTTCATGTGTAAAAATGATTTTGCTTTGCAGGTATTAACCCTTTTCAGTCACAAGGCATAGCAGCGGGTCTAAACCAAAGACGTTTTAAATATATCTACCGGTAAACTGTGCAACTACTGTACATGTACACTGTATGATGTACATGTATGTTGACTGCACTCAATAGGCTGCCCTGTTCTGTAGTTGCTCAGCAACATAAAAGATTGATAAAATATCTTGCAGGAAACTTTGAACAGCTCATAGTTTGACCACATACATATTAAAGGGCGCGTTTATTGGGGCTTGCCACTAGATATGTACATATCGTACCCCACTATCAAACCCCACTATCGAACCACACTTTACGATCGTGATTTGCGGGATGTCGCGTTTATCGTCACTTTACGATTAAAAATAAAGGCCTTGTGTCTGCCCAGCTGTTTTGACCCGGGAAGCAGACAGTTTTTCGGAGGTCAACTTCACACACATGCTTGTACACAACACCTGGGTGGTCCTATTTGTATGTGAGGTTCAAAACAGCTTTGCGTTTATCGATCTCTCAGAAACGTGATTCTGGCTGTATGTCACATTCAAAACTCACCTTTTTGCGTCTTTAGATATGCCCATATCTAAAGACGTTTGAAAGAGGCTTTGCGTTTATCACCTTCTAAATTTGCCTGAAAGACGTTTGAGAAACCTGATTCTAGCCAAAAATCTGGTCGATAAACGCAACCAAAGTTTAGCATACATGTATCAAATGATTGTTATACAGTGAAACACCATTGTCGATATCAGCTAACGAATATGAAATACATTACACAGACTCCTATTCAAGTCTCATTTGGACTCTAATGCAAAGGGCAAAACGTCATCCAACAACAGATTGTTAATGTGATTGATTTTTTCTTCTTCTATTGCTTCACTATAATGTCAAACATCTGTCAGGTCAGTGCGCTGGCTAGTCTGGCTGAAAGAAACTACAGTAATCATCCAAGCCTCTAAATTGGTAACATGGTATAAAATCACTATTTTGGAGTACAATTTTGGGGGTTAAATTTTGCAATGTTGATTCACATTTCTTTTCACACTATGTAGGAGTGGAAAAAAGAATTTATTGTTGCCAATGAAACTGAATGACTTGGAAAATAAGAAAACTTTGAATCGCAATGGGTTAACAAATTGTATTTTTCTGTTGGAGAACATTATGTATGCAGCCTTGTGTACTAGCCATCAACTAACAGTGTTTTGGTCGTCTCAAGGTTTGTAGAGAGAAGAAAGCATCCAATGATTGGTACATGAATAAAGCATTTTATGCATAGGTCAGTGCTGTATACAATAGATGGTATCTGGTTGGCCTTTCTATTGCTGCGTATAATATCTTTGGGAGACCCCTGACCTGCGTGTATATTATTTACTGCAAACCTCCAGTCCTCCA